CAGCTACAAAATCGCTTGGTGTAATAATAGACGATAAACTCGATTGGCATAGTCACATCGAAAAACTAACGAAAAAGATCGCCTCTGGTATCGGGGCCCTAAAGCGAATTAGGCACCTGATCCCAGCATCAACCTTACATCTCATCTACCAAGCTTTAGTAAAACCTCACTTTGATTACTGTGACATTGTTTGGGGTAGCTGTGGGAAAACGCTACGAGACAAACTGCAGAAATTGCAGAATAGAGCAGCCCGTGTGTTGACATTCTCTAACTATGATGCTGATGCAACTGAGCTACTCGAGTTTTTAGGGTGGAAAAATCTTGCACGCCAGCAGGAAATCCATAAAGCCACCATGATGTTTAGATGTCTGCACGGGCTAGCTCCAAGGTATCTATATTCAAAGTTTACGTGGCGTGACTCTGCTTATGACCTCAGGGACTCTGAAAATAAGCTTAATGTTCCACTACCGCGCACTAATTATTACAGAAAAAGCTTTAGCTACAATGGCGCCACATTATGGAACAGTTTACCACGCGATATAAGGAACACAGAGTCTCTGGGATTATTTAAACGTAAGATCAATGACATTTTTTAAGTCTAACGCACGGCATTCACGGAAAACAGCTTTAGTGTTATAGTATGTAGTTTTAATTTTAAATATCTTAGCGTATGTGATATGTATTTTTATAGGCTGTTGAATTGATCGTGTCTAAATAAAGATTACAATACAATACAATAACGAGTGAAATATCATATCTAGAGGTCTAAGTAGAATTCTAGAAGTCAGCGTGTGGGTGAGTAGAGTTTACATTACTCCTATTACTCCAGCGATTTGCAATAAATTTTTGGATGCACATGTAATAGCTTTTGCCTGAGACATTGCCGGGTTTTCCCCTTAAAATACACTTCAAAAGGTCGATGTTTAGGAAATTAAATATCGCATGTCACAGTCGTAATATGGGGCTTATCAATATAGCATTAAGAAAAACGTATCAAGATGCGATAGGCTAGTTTGTTGAAAAAACCTGCAAAAAATTGTCCAAAAGTAACCGGCCAATGGTAAAATAATTTTATCAGAGATATTTATTCAATGGATACGTCCCTTTTTTTAGACGAGTAACTTGCTAGAGAATAACTTCATTATTTGACCAACTTCATTTCTCTCTTGCAATTTTTCTCAAAATGTGTCATCTATTTAACAAAAGGTAAAGATGACTTTTCCTTTCAGTGTCCTGGCAAGCCAGGATACTGGCTTGGGACTCCGGAAACACAATTACTGCGCACACCTCAGGTGTATTTGCTGAATCAAGATACTGCTTAACCGTCATAAATCCAACTGCCTCGTAGTTTTCATTTTCAACTTTATAAAGAAGTTCGTCTCCTTTATGTCAGAGTAAATTAACTGCCGTTTTAACATATCTGGAGAGGAATCATTTGGCTTTAGGCCAAGTGGTCAAGTGTGTTTTAAGGGTTTGATGGAAAACTTATTTCAAATACTGTGTGTGAAAAATGTATGATAAGTGGGGTACTCTGCATATTTCACCTGTTGTTGTAACTTGGTCCTTGGCCATCATCAGTCAGTCGAGAAAGGCAACATGAATTTGATGAATTATCAATCTTTAGCCTGAGGTCGCGATCATCTTGATTTTTGTTTTAGTCGTTCAGTTTTCCCTTTCCTAACTTCCGAAAATCCTAACTAATCGCGGTGGAAGTCAATGCCTTCCTGAAGAAATGGTCGCTGATGTTTTCACTTCCCTATTCGACTTAATTTGAACAAAAAAGCCATTGACTGCCAGGCAGATGTTTCACTCCGGGTCCTGAGCGGTAAAATATCGACATAATTTGGAATGAAATAAATTTTACTTCAACTGCAGATAAAAACAATAAGAAGAAATGATCTTCGCAGGTGAGCTGCAATCAAGTAATTGCAGGAAAAAAGCTTAGAGAAATCCTGCCAAAGCCTGAATTTTTTCAGGCCTCTTTTCTGCTATTGCTGACAGAGCAATTCATCTGCGGGGATCATTGCTTTACTTGAATATATCGTGTACACTATTGGTATATATTTTCTATTACCGATAGCTTTTCATGAAAGGGGATATTTTAAAAACAGCTTTCTACACTCTTGTTAATCGACGGTGACTTGATAACAATACAAACTCAATAGTTAATACCAGGATCAGTGCTATCTAGCTAACCGATGAAATTTAGAAGGCGATCATTGTTTTTATTCTGCATTCATTACGGCTAAGTCCATGTAATTTGATTGGATGAAAGACCTGCTTATGAAGTGTGCTGATGGGTGTTCTTTTTGAGGAACCATATACTTTGGGTGATTCGTGTCATAAAAAAAAGTTAAGTATTGCATCAGCAAATAGAATGTACTAATAAATTGGCGTTGGTGTCATCAGGACGCCATCTTGGCTCGTTCAATGCTCCGTTCCTGAACGTTTTCGAGATAACAATGCTAATAGAGAGCTTAAGCACCAGACGTTCTTGACAACACGAACGGCAGAGAAGCCGCGTAAGACTGGATCGAGACCTTCGTTCTTGGCGCGAAATAGGAAGGTTAAGCAGTCGACGTTTTTCAGACACGGACTTCTACCCGTGTTAACATGTCTTTGCTAAAAGATGCTAGAGATATGACTTTAATGAGCATGGGAATAAGTTTCTTTACCCCACTCTCTTAACAGAATGAATAATTCGTCTTTCATATTTATTAGGCGACTTGAAATTTACCACTTCATAGTTGTGTAAACAATGCGAACAAACGAGCGAGCATGAAGTTTTCNNATTGTCTGCCATTGTCGAATCCCGTTTAATCTATCGATTAAGCAAAAACCACTTTACGCGCTACGAAAACGTTTTTTAATCACTTAATGAAAAGCAGAAGAGCTTTTTATGGTTTTGAGTCAATAATTTATCTCCTATAAACAAAATAACAGCATATTTTTGTGGCGTCCTACCTTCAACCTGAAAAGTGGCGTTCTGGCGTCTGCGACGTGACCACGCGAACGTCATGACATGCGCAGTATGTACATAGTTCCTCTAATGACTTCCGGTAGGCGTTCGTGACCTCAAGAACGTCTGGTGCTTAAGCTCTCTAATATCAGGCTTATAGTTCGGCTGGCATCAAGTCCACTTGAGATCAGACATGAATTTTACACCCTAATTACTGATAGTTCGTGTAAATTACAATCAAACTTATCTCCACATCTCCTCGATGTCACTGGAGACAATGGGGAGTTTGTCGTTCATGCTCAGCACTTGTCCGAAGAGGACAACGAGGTCATATCAAACTCTTTCATGCAAATTGTTCTTGTTTATCAATCAATCCTTTACCTTATTTTTTAAAGCCAACTGGTCCCCAACCCTTTCGGTCAAACAGCCATCATTCCATTAAACTACAGTGAGACAATTCGTCTTTTCCAAAAAAAGATGCAGGCAAACCTGCTTTTTGTTAAAGATTGAAAGCTGCACCAGCTTTTTACACTCTCTTCTAACGAGCAACCTGACTTTCACAGATTTCACTAGGAAAAATTCTAAAACTCCATTGCAACGGAACAGCCCTGACGCCCACTCAGGACGTTTCCGAATCATTTCCAAATGTTTTTTTTTTAGGGGCGGGGGAGGGAAAGTCAATTATCTGACCGTTAAGGCTTAGGACCAATTTCATTGAAATTACAAGAATCGTATCAGAAACACGAACATTTAATTTCGCATATACGAAAGTTTCTTGAGCGTTTTTTTTTTTTCATTTCAAGAGCTAAGGCCTATTTGCGCAGAAAACAAATTAACTCAAGCCATCTATTCATCGTCTCTATCTTATATTACAGACGAAATGGCAACAAAAATTGTCAACAAAATGCTACTGTTACAAAAGTAAGTGGTTTAAGGCAGGTAGGGGCTAATTTCCTGGTAAGTAAGTAGTTATTCGGCTGTGAGTTTTTCTCAGTTTTCGTCAAACTGCCGCCATCTTGAACGTTACTTCAAACATGTTGATGGGTGATTCATCAGTTAGGGAAAAAATTATGTTAAAGGCACTCTTTTCCTGTTGTCCCTCTTATCAACGTGCAAGTGTTTCACAGAAATCCTTTTTTTCCTGTGATAGATGTTTTTGGCATGATTTGGTACATGCAGTGATTCCTTCGAAAATAAAACGATTTTTCACCATCACATTACGGTAAAGGAGATTATTACTTGTCTAAAATAATTGATTACCAAGAGTGCCTCTAACTTTATTTTTGACTTTTTCGGAACTCAAAGCCTTAACTCTCGAACTATAGTTTGACATCTCTCGTGGGAAGCCTTTTAGGATTATTTATACACCCTGAGACTACGCAAAAACCGAGTCTAGGAAACGATTCTGGCGTCAGAACCTCTTTAACGAGGATATGTCTTTGAGTATTGCACAACTAATTATTAGCAAGGTTTCACTATAAATTTAAGTTTGTGAAAAGACATCATTCAGGGATTCAGTAAGGACGTATAGGTTACACTTACTTCTCAGGAATGGACAGCAAGACCGTCATGTTTGTATTTTGCGTTTTGTTGGCAGTTAGTTTCATGTCCGAAACAGAGGCAGATTACGGGCTTTACCCAGACAATAATGGGAAGAGATCACTGGTCAGTTTGGTATATTGCTATTTCTTTCTTACTTCTTTGAATTCCGTAACTTTTTTCGGTTATGGGTTACAGCAATGCAGTCAAACGAACGCCTTCGTCGTAATCAAGTAGAAACTGTGTTCGGACAGAACGAGGCCAAAGCTTACCCTGCTGTGATTTTCTCCTAATACTGAAGGAGAGGAACATTTCTTTTCTTAAAGCTGTGTTAGCTCCAGAGTTATTTTTTGCTCAGTTTACCGTAACGTTTCTCTAGATACGAAAAAGGAATGGTGCTAATGATACAATGATACTTTTAAGAATTCATTGATGAATGTAGACGAGTATATTTTTCTTCAGTTAACCCTAAACCAGGCTGTTTTTATTCACTTTCAGAAATTAAGTGATGTCCGAAGGAATATCAGGAGCATATGCGCTACCATGAACGATGTTTGCCAAAGGGAAAGAGACGAACTGCAGGATTTTAATCAGTTAAAGATGTAAATACATTGCTGGTTGAGTTAAACCGATTACTACATTTAAACGTGTTTACTGATTGCAGAATGAGTTAAGCTCACTACAACATTTCAGAGGTTACAGTCGAAACCCAATTGTAAAATCAATAAATTGTGAACAAATACTTTCTGAGTTTTTCTTTTGATCTCAAATAAGTAAAATTCTATTTTTATTATAAGATTGCGATCAGTCAGAAAAAAATGAGAGGATACTTTCATGATTGTCGTCATTAGTAATTGGGTCGTCAGTGTTTATAAAGGAGTTTCATCCATCTATTGGAAACAAACATTCGAGCCGTATTTTTACAACACCAGGTTAAAACATGACTTCATCAAATTAGCACTCACACTAGGTTGAAAAAAGCCTGCAGAACAGGCTTAAACTTTGGCGCTTTTAAGTCGAACGGAGGCGCGCACGAGGCGAGGGCGAAGTGCAAGTCACGCGCTTGGGGTGAAGCGCGAACTCAATCTTAACGATCACATCGGAAACATCGCATACACAGGACGCTTCCAAAACCTTAAGATATCCTCGTTGCTTAAAGACCAGTCTGTATGCTACAACATTGCTAAAGTCAAACAAATAGCTTAGCGTTTAGGTGAGCAAAGATGTGTTTCCTTAAGTAGACCTAAAATGAATAGCAAATGCCTTCCGTTTTATGTGTGGTTTTGAATCCTGGTGACATAATCGGCTTTGTTGATAATGAATCCTTATGGTAACATCATGTTACCAAAGGCATTGATTTTGTTCTTTTGAGTTCACTTTTTAGCACTCTCCAATGTATTTTCGTTTGACAATGCGAGTAAGATGGATAAGTTTGATTTTTTTAGGTTTTATACTTCATTTCAGAAGATGGGTAGGTGATGTGAAGAATTCTTAATAGAGTTAGAGTTTGTTCTTTTTGTAAACGGATTTCAGAGGTGCAGGGAGGGTTCGTTCGCTCTAACGAAGGGCAAACGCTCAAAACGTCAGCTTCGAAACTCTATACGGTGGCCAATTTACATTTTCATCTCAGTTGATAAAAGCAAAACTAGCTTGTTACTACCATCGTAGCAGCAACAATTAAAATTGCGTACATGAATTTTCTAAGTATTTCTTTAGATCTCAAAAAATTGGACACCTTTTACAATCATAAGACTTCAATCAACAGAAAAAAAATCCGAAACAAAAACGGCTGTCTAATAAAAAAAGGAGACTGTCACGATAGTCTTCATCAGTGATTAGGTCGACAATGCTGACACGAAACTGTGCCGAAAAAATAAATTACAGAAGTGTATCTTTTGAGTAATTATCTCTATCTCCAAAGAACTGAATTTCCTTTTTTTACTCGGACTTCCGTGGGAAAGCCCGAGTCTTAAAGTGGAAGCCGTTCTTGGTCGCCAGAAGGGGGTTCATGGTCCCAAGCGTTCCTTGTGTAAAGCCAGGGAAAAAAAAATGGGGATGAGGGTGCGACAACCTGTGTTATCATGTGCTCGCTCTTCGTAAACAACATAATTTACAGAATGCTATGCTTTGAGAAGATTGCGTTGCAAAGATTCCTGTCCTATACGCTCATCTCGCATACAAGCGCACACGCCGTTCGTGGTAGGCCCACACTAAATGATGTCGATCGTTTTCTGAATGGGCCGGTCCACGAACTCTATAGCTCGAAAGCCAGCCAAATGTGAAAAGTACATACTGGTTCTCACGAGTTAACAAATGAGCCATATGTGAGTTCAAACTTCGAAAATACAGGCAAAATTGTGACAGCCGATTTAACAACACACTATGATGCTGAGACGAACACCTCACGTGCTGAAAAAATTAAGAATGTTCGTGAACACAACTTCGAAGGTGGCGCTAACAACAGTGAATTGGTTAAGGATACTAACAGACTCGAAGCAACTTAAATAGTAAGATTAAATATCTAAGCTCAGGGTATCCATTCAACATCCTGTTTCTGTTAATGGTATTATATCGGGTTCAATAATTGTAAATTACGATTTGGTATTTCGTACATATAATCACTATTACTATTGTACAAGCGATCGTAAATGGTTTGCTCTTTGTATGGAGTTGTATGTGCTTAGTAGAAGAAATGGTGAATACTCTTGATGACTGTGATCTACTAGAAAAAATTGTCAATATGAGTACTAACTCATGTTGAGCTTCATGATATGCGAATTTGGTAGGCCGTATAGTAGACTGTTACAATAATCTATTCTACAGATTGGAGACGATGTAAGAGAATTCGATGGTCAACGGTATCAAACGCGGCGCTTAAGTCAAGAAGCACAAGCAACGTGGCGCACTGATCTTCCATGTTCATCAAAATTTCATTCGTGACTTTAAGTAGGGCAAGCTGTTTTCATTCTCAGGCTGTGAAGACTTTTTAGTCTAATCAATCCTTATTCTCACAAAAGATTTCATGGCTACTCGGTCGTTTGGCAAACACTGGCTAAACGGGGCTACGCAGTCACACAGCCATAAGAAATATGTCCTTGAATACTTGCAAACAAAATACCTTTGTCGATCAACCTCTGGTGAATTACCTTTCTAGGAAAAATGGTAAAGGAAGCTATGTGCTGTGATGTTCGCCCCTTGGCCAAACTCTAACCATTTATACTTTTCTGTTCAGCTAATATTAAATTGCAAAAATTTCCGTGTAAGTGCAGTATAAGACGACTCGCCTCTTGGACATCGTCATCTTGCAAGAGTAGGAAGAAGGTGGAAAAACTGATGGGAATGAGTTTTCGTTGTTTGAAATAAAAGATGAACTAGATGAAAAAGTTGACCTCAAAAATTAACCTTTTGAAGGTTAACAAAACTCCAGGTTTCCTCAATATTTTCTGTACCTTTGCTCCCGAAATGACACCTTTTAAGATACAACTTGACGAGGAAGGAACTCTATTCAAGCGGAATATTCCCGACACCAACTCAAGATCGCAGATATATATACTTTAACCTCTCAATATCTTGTTAACTTTTGTCTTCTTTTAATTTCGGTTAACTAAAGATTTGAAGGTGTGGACCAACAAAAGGAATACTTTTATACAAAGGAATAAAAATCGCTAAGAATCGTTCCGCAAAGAATAAAGAGAATTTGGGTTTTCTTATATACGACGGTTCCTTAAATGATAACTAGGGACACATCCTTTATATTTACCACCTTGCTCTATTTCCGAAAAATAAACCTCAACAACTATTCCTTTTTTCCTCTTCAACTTGTCTATCTTAGATTATAAAGGAAAATTCGACAGGTTCGTGAAATTTCAGCTGTCCGAATCATTCATTCAAAGCTAGCAAAATACCAACAGAATCAGCTATGGTATGTAAAAAAAAAAATGCTTCCAATACAAAAATTAGTGGTTTTGGGAAACTATAAGCTAGTTTCCTAAAAAGGAAGGAGCCTGGAAATTGTAGGTTTTCTTCTGTTCCATCTAGCCACCGCTATTTTGAGGTAGGGTAAAGGAACTTAGTCCTTCAATCGTTATTTCGTCGTGTAGATTGATGGTACATAAATTAAAGACACATTTACTTAAGTACCCAAGAGATGTCCAAGCACTCCTTTCCTGTTGTCCCACTTAACAGTATTTCATGTTATGGGCAATTACTGCCAACTCTTATTTACCTTATCAAGTTTTTAGTGACAATAGAAACTTGTCTTTTCGTTTTATTTCTTGTACTATTTTTTTTTTTTTTTTCATAATCAAAAATGAAAAGTTTCTCAACAAAAGAACACAATTTTTTTCATCACTGACTGATTAAAAAGGATACCTGTTAACTTATTTTTTATTTCTCTGGCAACCCAACCTTTACTTTAAAACTACAGTTTGATCTTGTCTCGTAGGGGCAGCTATAAGGCAATTTGCACATCCTGTGATAAAATTAACCACGCCACGGAAACGATGTTGGCGTCAAGGGAACTGTACAGAGGGTACTTCCTTAAGTAATACATAACAAATTATATGCAAGGCTCCAGTATAAATTGGGGCTTTTGAACGGAAATTTAATAACATTTTCACATACTTTTCAGATATGGAGAGCAAGGGTATCATCTTAGTATTTTGTGTTCTGCTGGCGGCCAGTTTCATGTACGAAGCAGGGGCAGTTTTCAGTCAGAACTGTAACTTTAATGGGAAGAGAGAACTTCACCCGGTATTGTTTCATTGTTTCGTTTTTGTTCTCAGTTCTGTTTTCTACAGTGCTACTGCTATTCACGGGACCAGTTAAACACTTTACAGGTGTCACCTGAGTGCAAAATATTATCAATCATAACTGCAGAAAAGAAAATCTAAGTATTTGACCAAAGAATATGGTTTTATCAACTGAGTTTATAATGTAAATTGGCATTGGTAAAGAGTTTCAATGCTGACGTTTCGAGCGTGAGCACTTCGTCATTCACTCTGGCGAATTATCAGGTTATCTTTTTATACTCTCCCACCGCCGCAGCACCACAGTTTCTTTAGAAACTTACCCCTTTTATCTATGAGCATTTAATTGCTTTTGATATATAATTTCATTTCTCTGTTAAATTTCGTCTTCTCTCCTGCTTAGAAAGCGTTTAGCTGCAATGAAAGTGAAAACATTATTTTTCCGCGGGCTGTATTTTCTAGCCAGATAGCAAATTGTGTTCGCATTTGAGAGCTGGTTAGTTTTAACCCCTGGCAGCTGACTCTTTTTCTTCTAACCTGTTTTAGTAGGGACTTTTAACAATCTATTTTGATCTACTTGTAGAAATCACGAGCTCTTCCAATGAACGTGAGGGACATGTGTGTCGCCATAAGAAAGATTTGCTCTCGAGAAAGATCAGCCGCAGGATTTCAGTTAGTTAAAAAAGGCACATTTAGACCGAAGTATTGTTATGTCCATGGAATTAAACGAAGCACAAAATGACTACGTCTCTTGCACTAAAAGAAATGACTAATACAATATGAAAAAAGTATAAAGATAAAAGCAATTGAAAAATAAAATTACATCTCTAGAGCTTGGCTTGAGATCCAGATCTCTTATCAGTAATGGTTCCTTTTCTACTTGTACCATTCCATTACTGAGCTTATATTATCGACACACACAAGTTGTGTGCGATAAAGGCTTCTACTTAGAGCTGCGATTGCTATTCTTCACTAATGTCTTCACTTAGTTTCC